CTGGGTTCCGAGGGGACAAGCCCCCAGCATACGATTGCTTGCGAAGGTGCTGCTTGCGTCATGCTTGCTTGTCCCATTGGCCAAAGCAAGTCACACAGCGAAGCCCAGAGTCAGTGTGGGAGAGGACTTCACAGGGCATGAATATCATGTGATCTGTTGGGGGCCACCAGTGGAACAGTCTGCCACAGTAGATGCCATTAATCCCTCTTTTGTGGATGAGGGCAGTGAGGCTTAGAGAGGTTAATCCCGTTGCCCAAAGTCATTCCACATAGCTAGGGACAGAGGGCAAGGAACATGTTCTTTGTTGACAGTACTAGGTCAACCTGATACAGGTAGAGGGTGTACAGTGGGGTTGGGGGAGGTACCAGGAGCCCAATGTAAGTGACAGCTGAGCTTCCAGGCCCCTTGAACCCACAGGACAGCCCGGCAGATTCCCTGGCCCACCTGGTGAGTGCTCTACCTAATGGCTCCCCACAGCAGATCAGAGCCACAGGGCTGTGTGAGGGCACAGGCAGCACTGGGAGGCGTTGAGAACGTGCTCCAGACCGCAGTCCCAGTTTTCAGTCTGGCGTTGTGGCCCCGTCTCTACCTCCCAGCCTTGTTCCTCCCTGTCCGTAACTCCAAGATGGCTTCTACAGCACTGGCTGCCTTGTGCTTATTCACTCTCTTTGGAGTGCCTTCCCACTTCAGAAAACTAGCTTATGTTTCATATAAGAATGAGGCTCCCTCGTGGGCACCACAGGCCCTGCGCTTCCCCTGATCCCAGCGCCTACCACACTGGGCTGTGACCACCTGGCACTTCTCTCTCTGCCCTTCTCTGCGGTGATCTCTTTAGGGCAGGGGCCTTTAGGACCCATCTCTGGCTCTCAGCACACACACCCAGCAGTGGCTGGACTGAACCGAAGGATGTTGCCCCTGGGAGCTGCTCAGAGTCTTAGCACAATGCCCATATTTTTTCCGCATCCCCCAAAGACTTCAGCAGACATCTGCTGGGCACCTCTGGGTGCCCTACCCTGGGCTGGGAAACAAGGGGGCGCTGAGTCATGCAAGGCCCACCTTCCAGCCCAAGTTCGTTCTCTCGTTACCTGGGGGTCACTGAGAAAGTCACTTAACCTCTCTGAACTCCGCATCCCCTATATATTCAGTATAGACGAGAACAGTCTCTTCTGTCCAGCTCACCCTGGGTCAGAGTCAGCGGAACTTGGGGGTGAAAAAGTGCCTCCTTTGGAAACTGACATAGCATTTGTGTGTTAAGGAGCTTTCTTTTTAAGAGGTCTGATTTGTAGGGCTCTAAGAAAGGATTCTCTATGCCCAAAGAGCCTTCTGCTCCCTGTATCCCTCCACCTATCATGATGTCTGAAATTCTGCCATCCGTCATTCTTTTGGTAAGGTATTTTTATTATGTATATCCAAATCGTCCCTGTTAAAAGATACCAAATGATCTGGAGAGGGTAACATGTTAGCCCAGGAGTAAAGCCTGCTGCTGTGCCATTAACGAACAGCTCTTCCTGCTCATTCTCCAACATTGGTGTTGAGGGTAGACAGGTGTGAGCTTTCTGGAGCTCAAGTTGGCAATACTTATCCAAAACCTTACAAACATGCGTACTCTTTAATGCCACAGTTCTCCCTCTGGAAGTTTATTCTAAGGAAACAATGTGTTCAAAACTGTGTGTACAAGGAAGTCTTATTTATAGTAGCAGAGAATTATAAATAACCTAAATGTCCAAGAGTTGGTAATGGGCTTAATAATGGTACATTTGTGCAGTGAAATACTGCCAGGCCCGGCTTCATAGGCCTGTGACCACACAGTCGCACAGGGCCCCACACTCAGAAGGGCCCCTCGCTTGGGTTAATGCTCTGCTGTCACCGTCTTCAGATTCTTCATCATTTTCTTAAAAGGAGCCCCTCGTTTTTATTTTGTGCTGGGTCCTACAAATTATGTAGCCATTTCCTGAATATGATGTAACAATTAAAATAATGTTTATGGAGAATATTTGTTGAAGTGAAAAAATGCTTCTATTAAATGAAGACACTAGGCTACAAATCCATAAAGGATGCAATTCTAATTTTTCAAAAACAAATATATATATGTATTAGTAGAGAAAAAGACTACAGAGAAATACACCAAAATGTTAGAACAATTATCTCTGAAGAAGCAAGATTACAGATATTCTTTTTGTTACTGTGTTCTTCCTAGAGCATTCTTGTATTTTCCAGCACAGAGGGTACGGATATGCTCATTGACTCGGACGTTTCCCGTTGAGGCGGAGGTGTGTACATCGTAACTGAGAACCAGTGGTTCTCTCTTGGCCTCTGATAGAGTCTGGAGCCCTTGGTATGCAGAGTAGACTTCTGGATAAACACACGAGGAGAAGTTCCGTTGATGAGGAAGCCAAGTGTTCTTATGGGCTCCTTGAAGTCGAGGACTGTCTGAATTCTCAGTCTCCACTTCCCTTCACAGGCCTGGCATGGACAAGGCCCCCAGGGAATGGCTTGAGGTCATTAGTGGTCTTTACTCGTGACACACCTCGTCAGACATTAACTTCATTACATTCTGACTTGGAGCTGGACCTTCTCTCTGGCTTGGGGCTGGACGTGTGCCCGGGGTGATCTCTGGACCAGGGAGAGGAGCCACCCCCTCCCCAAGTCCTCCTGTGCCCCGTCTCCCTCTGGGAACAGGCTCCAGGGGCAGAGGTCGGACTTATTCCTGTGCAAAGCTGGGAGAACACAGCTGGCTCCACCTATCACCCTGTGCGTGCGTCTCCTTGCCGGCTTCGTCCCAGCAGCAGAGGGCAGTAGTGCTCAGCGAGCCCAGGAGGGAGGCTGGGAGTTGGGGGGCAAGGGGGAGGTGGTCCTCCTGTAGGAAGTGCCCACTCACTCCGCACCCATTTCCCAGATTTCTCCTTCTCTCCTGGATGCTTATCAGCTGAGCCTGGCCGGCAGCACAGCAGTCCTAGCACCTTATCTCTGGGAAGCCGAGGCCTCTGCGTTCATGTCCTCTGACCCCTCATACGACAGATGGAAACACTGGGGCCCAGAGAAGGCATGGACTTGCTCAGAGCCACACAGGAACTAGGGGCAAACGGAGTTCTGACCGCTACAGGGGGAGGCAGGGCTCATAATGTGGAATTGCCCCGTGTGGAAAGCTGTTGAAGGGAGGTGGGTAGCTGCAAGAATGGGAGATGCTCCCCGCACCTGCACACGGGTCCCAGGCCAGACTGAGTTCCAACTCTTTGAGCCTGTGTTTCTGGGTGGGCCCTTACTGCTCCAATAAGACTGAGATCTCCCCTGGGCACAGGCTGGGCCTTCTCCTGCTGTCTGTCTTCTTATTCTTTTTATTACTATGTTCTTCCTAGAGCGTTTCAGCTCCTGGCGGGGCACCCCATGCTCAGGGAAGATGTGAGAGCTAAAAGGTGGGGACGAGGTGGCACCAGCAGGGCAGCGGGAGCTTCCTCCTCTTTGCCCCACGTTTCCCTGGAACCCGTCCGAGGAGCTCCCTGAGCGTGCCCTGTGCTGTCCCATCTCTGTGCCTTTGTCTCCTGGTGGTCCACCGAGAACCCCTCTCCCCCAGCGCCTCCTTTCCTCTGCTCCAGGTCCATTCTCTCCCTCAAGGCGCAGGCCTGGGGCCTCCTCCTCCCAGAGCTTCCCCCTCCCTGACTCTCATCTAGGCTTCCACAGTTAACGTCCTGGTCTGTAGCTCTGGTGACACTGGACACCTAGGGAAACAGTGTAGTCCAGTGGGAGGGGGACTTCAGAGCCCCACAGATCTGTGCTCTGACCTGGCTTTGCCATTGACCACCTGGGTGAACTTGCAAGTCCCTTAACCCGATCTGTGAAACGGAGGTGCTAATCCATGCTCCAAATGGGCAGTCGTGAGGATTTACAGACCACACAGAGAGTGCCGGGAAGAGCAGCCATCTGTACCTACAGGTGGTTGTTTATATCTAAGGTCATTCCCCATGAGATGAAAAGCTCTTTGAGGGCAGGGGTGGGGTCTTTTTGGTCACCCAAGACCTTGCAAAGGTTGAAACAATGAATGAACGAATGAATGAGTGAATGAATGAAAGAAATGTATGGGAATGGGCAGGGTACTCTGAGGAGTCTGCCCCTTACCAGCAAGATGGCAGACAGCAGTGTGCGCTCAGCCCTCAGGAGCCCCTTCTCCCTCCCCAGCCCCATTCTCAGCCCTTGCAGTGAGAGCCTTACCCCAATGACTTTGTCTCTCCTAATTACCCTTTTAAATGAAATTTATGAAAGTTTCTCTAAATTTTAAAACTGATTTGCAGGGGCCATCCCAGTGGCGTAGTGGTTAAGTTCACACGCTCCACTTCAGCAGCCTGGGGTTCGCCATTTGGGTTCTTGGCGTGGACCTATGCACCGCTCATCAAACCATGCTGAGGCGGCATTCCACATAGAACAACTAGAAGGATGTATAACTGTGACATACAACTATCTGCTGGGGCTTTGGAGATAAAAAAGGAAAAGAGGAGGATTGGCAACAGATGTTAGCTCAGGGCCAATCTTCCTCAAAAAAAACAGTTAAAAAAAAACTGATTTGTATTCTTTAATAAGAGCATGTGATGGATGGGGTATTTATTTTTTAATAATCCTTTTTTTTTTTTTTGTAAGGAAGATTGTCCCTAAGCTAACATCTGTTGCCAATCTTCCTCTTTTTGCTTGAGGAATATTGTCCCTGAGCTAACATCTGTGCCAATCTTCCTCCATTTTGTATGTGGGACGCCACAACAGCATGGCTTGATGAGCGGTGTAGGTCCACACCCGGGATCTGAACCCGTGAAGCCTGGGCCACCAAAATGGAGCAGGCGAGCTTGACTATGCCACTGGGCCGCCGGTCCAGGACAGGGGGTATTATGTTGCAAATTTTCTATAATGAAATTGACTTGAGCACACTCTGGATCATCAAGGTTGGGGCGGCCCCTCCCCCAGCCCCCAAGGCCTGCTTGCTCAAGACTGACAGATGGTGGTTTTTCGCTTGGCAGACCACGGTGAGCTGGGACGGGGACAAGCTGGAGTGTGTGCAGAAGGGCGAGAAGGAGGGACGCGGCTGGACCCAGTGGATTGAGGGTGATGAGCTGCACCTGGTAAGTTCCTGGGTCAGGGGGCAGGCCAGGTGGGGTCCCAGAGGCCCTGGTCACTGTTGAGATCTAGGTGGACCTTGGAAGAATGCCCCGTGGCTGGGCCTTTGTTCTGCTCTGAAGCATCTCGCCCAAAGCCCTAAGGAAGGCACTTGAGTGACTTTAAAAATTGAGCAGTGTGTTTTCAAGGTCTGGGCTGACCCAACTGTCCAATCAGGGAGGAGGTGAGGAGGTGTGTCTGCTAAGCATCAGAGGTGGAGCCAAGCCCTGTGGCCTTCCATATCTCTTTCTGTTCTCTCAGCAGCCCTATGGGCCAGAGATTATTATGGTTCCTATTTTGCAGATGAGGACATGGACGCTCACACCCAAGTTACACAGCTAGAAAGTTGCAGAACTAAAATTTGCTCCCACATGATGTCTATTTTCACGATGCCAAATTGTGGCAGGCCAGAGCCAAGGAGAATTCTCTAAGCTTCTCTAAGACATGATCTCAATAATCTAGATTGGGGGAAGAGAAGCCTTTCTCAGCTCAGGTGTGGGCCCCACTCACCCTGTCCTCCAGCCTGGACCTCTAGTCAAAGCCACTTCTACTCCCTCCATTGTGTGGGAAAAGCACCCACGAATCCAGAGTAGGGGCCTTAACCCCTGGAGGGCTAAAATAACACACGTCCTCTGAGAGGAGACCTCCCATCTCTTCTCTGCCCCCTTGGAACTCCCCAATTACCTTCCTTCCTAGAAAGGAGCCTGGGCCAGGTGACCTGGGTTCTAGTCCTGCCTCACTGGGTGCCTCTGGGTAGGTGCCCTCCTTCCCTCAGCCGCCTCTGCAGAATGCTGTCCTACCACATGGGGGCCTGCAGAGATCGGGCTGCAGGAGTTTTGGGAGGCAGGAGTGCTGGGAGGAGGCCCGAGGGCGTTATTTTCAGAGGCAGCTTAGCCTGATGCAGAGAGCTAGGGCTGCAGTGCCTGACCTTGAGCCGGGCTCCCCTCAGGCCTCTATTTCCTCCACTGCAGACAGTGAGGGTAGATGATGTGATCTCCATTGGCCCTTTCAGCTCAATAGTTCTGTGGCTCTAGGCCAGAGGTTACAAACTGGTTGGCAGGCCTCTTTTATTTGGCCATCAGTGGGCTTCAAACTTCTTCAGCCAACAATTTGAAAATTAGATGTCACATAAATATTCAGATTTCCAGCCTCTTTCAAAAAAAAAAAAAAATTGGAAGGCCTGACAGCGCTGTGCCGTTATTCCCCCTGGCAGCACTCAGCAAGGGCTGCCCTATAGGCAGGGCAAAGGCTTTCTTAGCTGCATTTTAGTACTACCTGGGAGCTTTTAATAATAGCGATTCTGCTACTCCGCCCACTGAGATACTGATATTACTGGTCTGGCTGGGACGCAGGCATTTTTCAGACTCCCCAGGTAACTCCAGTGGGCAGCTGAAGCTTGGAACCACCACGCTAGTTTGCAGCCCTGGTCTGCGGTGACCTGTTGAGCCCTTTGGGGATCAAGCCATGTGTCTGGGCCTGATTTCTTCCAAGGCTGGGCACACACTCTGTCCTGGGCTCAGGCCTGAGGTTCTTCAAGCCTTTGGCTCCTTGAGGGTAGTAGGAGGAGAGGCATCAGAGGGTCCCGTTGGTCAGTTCTGAGCCACATCTGTTTCCCGGCCAGCTCTGTCTACAGGGTGTAGCAGAGCCTGGTCTCCACTGAGCCAGTTCAGCCGGCTTTCCAAGGAATTGGTTAGTTCAGACCAACTCCTGGGGAAAAATAACAGCCACTGAGTATTTTCGAAGTTCTTGTCCTGTAGATGCACTGAGCCCCAAGTGTGACCTTGCTCTGGCCAACGACAAGCATCTGCCTTTGTTTCAGGAGATGAGAGTGCAGGGTGTGGTCTGCAAGCAAGTATTCAAGAAGGTGCACTGAAGCCCGAGCAGCCCCGGGCCTCGAGGAATGAGCAGCAGGACGTGTGGCCGGGATCCCCCTCTTTGCACCACATGGGCAGAACGGGCCAGGCGTCTGTCAGCAGAGGCTGTCTCTTGGCTTTGTCTCTTTCCTTTTCTTAAAACGAAGCCATCCCAATAAAAGTGATCTCTGCTCCAGACGTCTGTTCTGGTGAAGCTTCAGAACCCCCCTGTGCTCACTTTGTCTCCGGGGCCTCTGAACTGGCGTCTCCTAATGCCACCCCTGAGCGGCAGGGAGAAATTCAGCCGCACACCTGCGGATTTCGTCCTGACGCACCTGTGCCGTCTTTCCCCAGGGGCACAGGCTTGGGTCCAGGGTGTGTGGCCTGACATTCAGTCATTTATGTATTAAGTACCTACCACCTTACACATGCAGTCAGGGCCAGTGAGTGCTACAGAAGCAGGAGAAGGTGCCCTCCACCCTGGGAACTTAGAGCCTAGTTAAGGAGGTCAGCCCAACAGAGATCTCTAACTGTACACAAAGGAGATGCTCTAAACATTATTTGTGAATGAAATGGAACTGTATGGAATTATAAGCCCAAAGCTAGAATGAGGTGAACCTTAACCAAGGGCAATTACCAATTGGATTTGATATCAGAGGTGTCATGAACACGCACTTCACCACCCCAAAACCATCCCCACCTCATCTATGGGCTGATGAAACGCCTTCCTTTTCACTGTTGTAGCAATGGCATAACTTGCAAATCCCCCTGCAAGAGGAAAAGCAGCCTCATATTCACACTGAAGTGTAAATGATTGCTAGCTATGCCTTTGCATCAAGAAACACAGGGAAACTGAAGGGTGAGTGAGGAGGTGGGAGGCCATGGAAAGGGAGGACTTCCATCGGGGACCCCCTAATATCAAGTCTGCCCAGGCTGTGCCCTGCCCCTTGGGAAGAGTACATAACCAGGTTAGGAGTTGGATGAGCTGAGTTCAAATCACAGCTCCCCCTCTCACAGGGCAACACCACACCTCTTGGGACCTCACTTCTCCAAGCAGAAAACCACAGTAATAATCTGCCCCACCTCTCGCACAGGTGGGCTGGGAAGCTTCGAAGGCATATAAAACTTGTTGACCGCCAAGCACTAGCCCAGTGTTCTCAGACCCACTAAACATTACAACCACCCGGGGAGCTTTCAGAATTCCTGTCCTCAGGCCGCTCCCCAGAACCAGTTACATCCGAATGTCTCGAGGTGGGACCCAGGCATCCGTATTTTTTTTTAAAGCTCCCTGGGTGACTCTAATATGTCACTGTAGTTGAGAATCACTGCCCTAAACCAGCGTTTCTAACCTGGGGGTAATCCAGCACCCACCTAGGGGCATGTGGCAATGTCTGGACGCATATTTGATTTAATAACTTGGGTGGGGGCGCTACTGGCATCTAGTGGGCAGAGGCCAGGGATGCTGCTAAACATCCTGCAATGCGCAGGACAGCCCCCACAACAAAGAATTATCCAGCCCAGCAAGTCAATACTGACAAGATTGAGGAACCCTGCCCTAGACAAATGCAAGAAATGGTTAATGATTCTTATTATCCAGGTCATTTCCCTAACCTAGACCAAAGAAATGAAAACTCAGAATTGCCTAAGATTTTGGAGACCCCTTCACCTTTGCAGGCCTACTCTCTGTCCGAGGGTGGAGAACTTAAAGGCAAAGATTCTTTTAAAGACCATTCACAAATGTTTACTGAAGACCTGGTATGTGCCAGGTGCTGAGCTAATGTCACACCTGTTGGGCCTCCAGGAGTTCCCGTCTCACCTCAGGTATGGAGACCCCCAGCATGTAAATGCCTCACCCAACAGTTAGGGTCTGTGGAGGACTCTCCATAGAAGGTGTGGTCCTGTTAGCGTGAGTATGCACGTGATGTGGGAGTCACGGCCCACCCTTGGGAGCCTCTGGTTTTGTAGGGAGACTCAACCGCCTTCTGATTGAAGAGCTTGACTACTAGGACCTGTTTTAGTGAGCAGTGGGAGCCACAGGAGGTTTTTGAGCAGGAGAGTGGCATGATCAGCCTTTCCGCAGAGTGAATCTGGCGGCCATTCTCTCAGCAGTAAGAAGAGAAAAGAGCAAGGAATGCCAGTTGGAGCTTAGCACAGAGCAGCCACATTAATTCAAAATTCACTTCACATGAGACTAATCTTCCCAAAGGAGTATATGTGGAGCGGAAGGGATGTTGCTTATTGTGCACAAACCAATAACCACAGAAGCATGCTTAGTGCTGCTCGCCGTTTTCTCAGCGCCACCCCCAGCGTTTGGCAGAGGGCTTGCTCCTGCACTTGGCAGCCGCCTGCTTCGTGGCGCTTGCTCAGCCGCCTTTGGCATTTCAGCCCCTCTCACCTCCGGTCCAAAGCTGTTGATGTGAGCTCCATTTCTGGAACACTATTGCAAGCTCCACCACTTATCTGACCCTTGGGTTGTTACAAGGTACAAAAAAGATTTTCGTTTCTCACAATAGTGCCTGATAACATAACTGAGCACCGGGAATGGACTCACTCGCCGCATGTCCAAAGCACAGCAACAATACTGTGATGCCCACAGGGCTGACAGAGGATGGCAGTTGTCTATTTGCCACTCGCCTGGTGCTGCTAGGCTGTGCAAATAGAGCACTGCTCTGACAATGCCCCAGGCCTGCCAACTTGGAAAGGTTTTTTTGACATTTTTTGAACTGGAGGGTTACAGTATGTCAAAATGCACTGTAAGTAAGAACTTACTAATATATTTATATCTCATAACTTCAGATTTTCAAAACTAGGACTGCCACGTGCAGCAGCTCAGGCAGGAAGTGCTGAGGCCGCGCCCGGGGCAATGGTGGCCCTCGCTGAGGAAAGGCAGCGGGTGCAGGGGCTGAGTGCCCAGGCTCTGGAGCCACGTGGCCTGGGTTCAAGTCCCCTCTCTGCTACTTCCTGGCTCTGCGAGGTTAAGGCAAGTCATGCAGCCTCTCTGTGCCTCAGTTTACTCACCTGTAAATCGGGGCTAACAATTCCTCACAAGCTTTTTGTGAGGATTAAATGAATCTAATATATGTAAGCAACTGAGAGCAGACGTATATGTTATTTGCAAAGATATTTGAATAGTCTCTGGCATATAACAAGCCAACTTACATGTGGGTGAAAAAAAACAAAAACGGAGATCTGAAAGGCACTTCAGGGGTAGAATCAACATGACCTCATTGCCGACAGGACATGGTGACAGAAGAGCAGGAGGAACCCAAACTCAGGGGCAGCAGGGACGCCTTTGACAGAAATCCGGTAGGGTGCCTCGTCTAGGGCGGGAAACCCCCAGACTGCCTCAGCGGCAGAAGGGGGCCTGGAGCAGGGCCTCACTGACCTCCTCGGGGTGCAAACCCGAGTGCCTCTGCCCCCCTCACCACACACACACACAGAGGACACTGATCGGGACCCCGGAGTTTCTGGTGCACAGACGCGGTGACCCTCCATCACAGGGCTGGCGGGAGGATGGACTTCAGACCCTAAACCCCCAAGCCCACAGAAACATCATTGTCTAGGCAGCTTCCAAACCTTCCCACAAGAAAATCCTGACAAGGAGAACCCCACCAGGACCTCTCTGGGAGTCCTAATTTATAACCTCTGTCTCAATTAATTAGGACACCCACCGCTACTGTTCCTTTCAGGTGCAAATTAAACAGCTTAACAGTGCACTGCAATTAAATTCTGCTTAATTCTCCTAAATGTCCCTTATCCACGCTGCTGACAGTGCCAGGAGCAATCCCCCCATGCAGATCTGGGTCTTTTGTAACCTGAGTTCCCAGGGGCTTCACCAACTCAGCTACAGCCCCACATTTCACCCTAAGCTGGGGACCTACCAGGCTGAGTCAATGTAGGTGGTGGGGACCTGCTAGTGACTCAAGTCACAGGAATGGGCTTTTCTCTCTGGGACAGTTGGGACAAGGAAAGGGATGGCTGTCCCTTTGGAAAAAAGGACTTGATTTGCTCTGGGAAGGACACTTACCGATGATGACATCCCCCATTTCCCATCCAATAAACAAAACTTTACCAGTGCTTCAGAGATGAGTTTGGGGTCCCCTCCTCCCTGCTCCACAATCCACAAAATCACCCCCTTCTTTGAGCTCTGATCTTCTCAAGGGTGGTCCTGGCCATTTCCCCTTTTTGAGACACCCCCAGATCAGAAGACAAAAGTTGTGGTTTATTTTAAATGGTTGCATGTAATAAATAGTTTAGCACACAACAATACAATGTAATATAATTATGTTGTGCTAATTCCAAGATAGTTATAGGATTTATAAAATTAATCAATTCATAGTATACCCAAGGCATACAATGGTCCATTCGTGGTACACAAGTTTAAAGGTGGAGAATGAACTTCATTCTGTTCCACTACTGTCTCTCTGACCTTCACGTGTAACTTCCTTTGGTGATAATGTCGAAAGTTGAAAAGCCCTCATGAATGTGATGTCTACACCAAGTGGGTCCTTTCCCCCAACACCACAGGCCCCCAGTGGAGGCCGTCTTTGAACTCCTAACACTTAGCTCTCAGCCTTCCCATTGTCTTAGACACCCCTAGTGGACATTCGCCACATTTGTGGCTGTCTGCCATCTTGTGAGCAACTCTCCTACGTATGAGGAATTTCCTGCGTTAGGAATTCCATCTCTCCAAGGTATTAATGGAAGGAAAAACCAGCTTTCCCAGCCTACCTTGCATCTAGGCTCCGGGTATGAGACAAGTTTCCCTCAATTAGATGCCCCCGAGTGAAGAGATGTGGAAAGAGGACTATGTGAGGAAGGTGGATAATGCAGGTTCGATTCTTCGGAAATGGTGACAGCAGAGGAATTGGCATTGGGGTGGCACCCATGGCAGAGCTTTGGTTCCCAGTGTCCAGTGCCGTGGGCCCCACCTACACTGGCAGTGGATGCAAAAGATAGAGGCAACCAGCCCTGTGTGCTTCCTACACAACCCCACCTATGAGGTAGTCTCGCCAAAAAATCCCATTTGAATCTGGTCAAGCCTCTGATCTAACTACATATTTACAGGAAGTACAGGGGCAGAGGGCCATGCTAAAGGACATTTCAGGGATGCAATCAGCAAAACCCAGACTGTGAGAAACTACAGGACAAACAGCCTGGTTTTTTCAACAAATAAATTGCAAGGAACAAAAAAATAT